TCAAAGATTAAAATATAATAAATTTAATTATAATATAATTGTAATTAAAATATATTTATTACCTCAAAATTAAATTTACTGCTACCAATATTTAAATAAATGTGGTTAGCCCTTTATTGTGAATGAGGAGAGTGCAGTATTTATGCCCAATACTCAACATGCTGAAACTGGCGATATGATTACTGATTTCACTTGAATAGGCATGAAACAGTAGTTCACTCATTTTTTGAGCAATTTCACTTGAAGAAATGAAGAGACACTCACACACACGTGTACACTCGTAAATATACTATTTCTCCTCTTGTTAGCTTTCCACCTGCCACAACTTCGCCCCTGAACATTACCCTGAACGTATTCTTCATAATAATTATCAGCTGCTACTTGCCGTTACTTGCGGAGATGTAAAGTATCTCCTTGAAAAATATAATGTTCTGTACAAAATACTGAACAATTTAAATTATCAACGAATTTTAAAGTCAGGGAATTGAATATGGGAATGTACTTAATATGATGACTGATTCATTGGTAATTTTAAAATAGACATTATGAGAGTAACATACTTTAGTGCATATGTGTGAAGTTGTATTGAAAGGTGTGCATGAGATCTTTTCTTGTATGATTTGTACATTATTCAAAAACTTCTCTGTATTACTGAATAGTGAAAATAAATTTCTTAATTGCTTAATATTAATGTGAATATGTGATCTAAAAATAGGTTTCATTAATTTAGTTGTAGACATTATGTAACTGTAGCAAATAACAGACAATTCATAGCTGACTTGAAATTCCAACCACAGGTCAAAATTAATTATGTAATCCCAAATTAACATTCATTTTGAATAATTTATCTTATACTATTTAAGGTGCAGAATTGACTACTTGCATTTCATACTTACTGTGTACATACATGTGCTTAAACCATATATTTAGCCTACTACTTATTTTCATTTTAGGAAAGCTTACTTTCTTTTGTATGCATAGATCATAACATTCTGTGTTTCTGCTTTTATCCTTACAGAAATCATTCCACGGATGGACTTGGGAGAAGTCAAAGGGGGTAACCATTCAGCTTTGCTAATTGTAGTGCACGATTTGTTCTTCTTTGCATATTTGGTGTATCACTAATGCATTTTCCTTTACATCAAACATAATACTTGCTAGCAATTCAATAATATTTAGACATTTATCTCTCACTTTTAATTTTATATTTCAAGTCTTTGTTCGTTACTTTTTTTTGTAGTGTTGGAACGTGTTTATTTAAATATAAAAATGCAATTTGTAACGGTTTTATGGGATATGCTCTATTACATATTTGATTACGTACTGACCTATCAGATGTAAATAGTTGAGTAATTTTGTTCTTGATATGTGTTGATTTGTATCTTTAAGGAAACCCAAAGAAATATTCATTATATTTTATTTTATTTTTATTTCATAATTTACAGGAAATAGCCAAAAAAAAAGAAGAAAAAAATTTATTGTTATATATTGCAGTATTTTATAGAATATAATTCCTTTCTAAGTTCTTGGAAACATTATTGTTTCAGGTCAAAAGTCAATATTTTAATATTGTTACTTATAGACCGTATTTACCCGAATATAAGTAAACTCTGAATCTAAGACGATCCCCTAATTTTGAAGAGGCCTCCTGAGAATTTTTAAAAATTTCAACTAATTCCGGAATGCCTTGTCGAACCTACTTCTTGTAACAAATCTCAACATTCATTTTCACATTACATTTCATTTGATATAATGCCTTTTATTTGAGATTCTCTCTTCACCTGCCCATTTAAAAATAATTAGTCTGAATTGCCCTGCAAATTTGCAGTGGATGCTGAGAATACGACCACAATTACGTGTAGATACACGTAATATTTTTTCCATCTTTACAGTTTATTTTTACATCAATATTTACAAATTTCATGACATGGAATGGCAATGTAAAAATGTAAACCTTAACCAGCTACACTTCATCTATGAATATACAACAACTTCGCATTTTAGGACTAGGCTATTTAGGAAAAATCCTCATTGTATATTATGGTTTATACAGTATATATTAACCCTCTGTTGGGTGCAATGTGGTCTGTCAGATGAAGTAATATACTTTTCAGATCTTTTTAGTATATTTCTTGGAAGGCACATTTTCTTCAGTAGTTTCTCCTATTACCCCACACAAATTGTGGCCAGTGTTCTCAGACTTTTCTTCATCTGCAAGAGAACAAATAATCTGTTAGATCAGGGCTCGTTCACCTTACAATTTCCTGTCTTGTTATTTTTTAATTTCCATATAATAATGACTTAAAGTAATTTATTTGGAAGTCAAGTGTATTAACTCTCTGACCAAGGGTAAATAGTATGCTATTTTACTTTTTTTTTTATATTTACGAATATTTTTCTGATAATGGATAGAATAACAGCATTAATGTTTCTTATTTTGTTGGTGAACATGTTCTTAAGTAGTTCGACTTTGCATTAACATAATTTTAACCTCCTGAATTTGCATTGGTGAATAAACATTACATTAAGTAGAAATAAAAACTGAAGTCGTAGGCTTCCGCGGCCAGAGTCATGTACGCGATCTCGACTGTCCGGATGACGCCGCGTCGAAGGCTGTGTTGCCGACGTTTCGACCATCCTGTCGTGGCGACACCCAGACAGCCCAGATCCCGCATAAATGAAAACTGTTAATAAAATCTATCAGACTCTCTAAAATTTATATTATTTGTGCTCCTAATCCCTCAGATAATTGTGTCTGATATATGACAAAGTATTGCACCTGACTGAGGGTTAAAAAATATACTCATGTAATTTCAAAACAATGCCAAGTGCTGTTTTTCAAGACATTGTTAAAGTCTTACATGTTCTTTATCAAAAAAATTTTTGAAAAACCTTTTTTCACTAATTTTGTCTAATGGATCACTGATTGTTTTACATGTCACAGTGTTTAAATTGATGTGAGAATGCTATGTAGTCAAGAGGCATGAGTATTTTTAATGTCATTATGCATTTGCATGGTGCACAACTGCTATTATTTATTAAATTTGCAATATGTCATTGATGATAGATATATTAGACAGAATTTCTCGAACATTTCTCAACTATTTTTGCCATTATACTACGTTTTCATTTTTTCTTATTTAACTTGAATTTAATAATAATAATAATAATAATAATAATTATTATTATTATTATTATTATTATTATTATTATTATTATTATTCACATTCTTGACTGTGGGAGAACATTCAATCTCCTTAATTCTGATACTTTCCATATGCTTTTTGAAAATAAAAATCAGATTAAACAACTAGTTGTTACTGCAACTCTATGTATGTAATGTGTGAAAAAGGGAGAAAATTAATATTTACTGCCCAGGAGCTACATTTCCTTGACAAAAAAAAGGAAACAGGGCTGGAAACCATTATCAAATGGAGATTATTATTCCAAAAACCAGCTTGAATAATTCAGTGATGATGAAACCAAATTGTTTAACACTGTTAGATTAAAAGTTAGACATTTTGTATGTGAGAGAGTGAGCATGAGCTTCAAACTATCCTACACTCAAGTGGCCTGTTTGAAGCAAGTGAATTTCCAATTGGAATCCAATTTCTATTGAATAATAATACTAAAACTGAGGATAATCCTTTAAACACAGTTTGCTCTGAAAAGTAAGGTGTTTAGGTAACTGAGGTAAATCGAGTAAAAGATTGGATGTAGCAATGTTTGGCTTTAAAATTGAACTTTTTCTGCGTGATACCAGATTCTTAGGGGGTGTGAACACATTGCAGATTCCTCTGCTTTCGAGTTATACAAGACACCCTGTAATACAACTCATACTAAACACAAATAAACATTGGCCTCTGGTTTATATAATATTAATTTTCTTCAGAATACTTTTGGAAATATTTATTTTTGGCACTCTGACCTTTATGACTTCAATGTGATTGAGACTGTTGAAAGTGTGTGCTTTAAACAGGCTGCTTTTCATGTTAAAAAGAGGTCATAAGTGACTGCACTCAGAGCTATGATTTTATTTTTTTAAACAAATTTCTGAACTTGCTTACACATATGCTTGTGTAATACACATATCTTTCATACATGAAGGTGTAAAACACAAGGAAGCTTACTGGAATATTTTCATTTGATTTCACGGCTAATGTTCATTCCTTTTTTAATATTCACATCACTTTGCATTTAATACACAGTATTGTATCTGCCTAGGAATCTCATCATTAATTTTGTGACATGCTGACACATATTGGACTTTTGATATCGTACATGTTAGAGAGGAAATTCTAAATTTATTTCCAGATGTTTAAATGTTGAAAGAAAGGTTTTAGAAATCACATGATTCAAATTCAGGGTTTGGTAGTTTAGGAAGGATGTCTATTTCTTCTTTCACAATTAGGAACTAACTTAGTGAATTTCTTGTCCACCAATGAAGTTATGTATACATCACAGCTTAGTATTAGGTTCCATTTGCAGCCCTGGGAAAAACAATAATAGAAATAAAATAAAATCAAGAGAAGTTCAAAATAGAAGGAAAATTCTGCGGCAATGATGCTCAAAAGATTAAATAAGTTCAAAATGGAGTTCATAACACTAAATGACCTGTTAAGATGAATATTGACAAAGAGGGTTCTGATTCTCAAAGAGTCGTACCTTAGAGTGAATTAATTAATAGCATGAAACTGATTTTTTATGAAATTCCTTGGTACATGTTTTTACCTATGCAATTGATTATACTGGGGAGTCACCTTTATATATTGTGCTAAAAATGTGCATGAAATGCTTGCAATGATGTAATTTTTGCATGAGTTGTTCTTGCATTGCTCATGAGTAATGTGAATGGGAAGTATGGCAATGAATTGCCATTGTTGATAGATTTCTTTATTGAAATTTCTTTGGCAAATATGTGCATTATCATTTTACTAAAGAATCAACTGATTAAAAAAGAAACAAACAAGAAATATATAGTGTGTTTTGTTTGCCCTAAGGTACAGAGGAGGATCAGGAAGCAACGGACATGCTGGTTGGCAATGCTCAAAACTTGATGCAGTCTGTGAAGGAGACTGTAAGGGCTGCAGAATCTGCTTCAATAAAAATACGCACTGATGCTGGAGTGAGACTTCGATGGGTTCGTAAGCAACCTTGGTATCAATATTAAAATGATACATTGTGCAGTGTGCTCCAGGTTAAATAGTATATCTGGTCCAGTATGTGGCCTTGAGCTGGCTTGTTCTACATGTACTCTGCCCTTTTCCCTTGGAGCAAATACTTTACAATGCACAATCAGTCCAGGAAAGTGTTCTTTCTGCTTAGATTATGCATAAAAACATTTCGTTGGTGCTTAACATTTCTCTGAAAACATTCACATCAGCTACTCCTTTGAACTTCCATATTTACTAAACCTCATTTGTGCATTTCAATACTTTTGTAGACATCTGCTTGTTTAAATACAAAACAACAACATGTTGTTTTCTGTCCACGGACATACTCATAATAGTGCTCATTGCAGAACTCTGCGACCTTACAACAACTGTGATTTATGAGAAATGGCGTAAATGTTTTTAATGAGTTGGCTGATGTTAAAAAATAGTTATGGGTGAATTATTCTGTTGTGTTTCTTCCACACTAGTTGTAAAAGCTAATTTTATAAAATTGTATTTTCATAACCAAATCTTTCTATAGTTCACATAAATTCGCTAGTGCAATCAAGTGGCTGTTTATATATGATAGTCTAAGCATCCATATTTTTAGAATCGTATTCTGATAGCAAATCGTCATAACAATAATAATAATAATAATAATAATAATAATAATAATAATAATACATATTAATTATGATAATATTAAAGAATTATTGTAATAATAAAAATAATGTTAATAACACAATTCTTTGTGAGAAGGAAACTTTATTTTAAGTAGTATGTACAATAATATATATTATTTCATATAATTGTACGATCCTTGGGGTCTCTTGGCATGTACATTCGTTCATTTTCTATGTATTTGTAATTATATGCATGTAAAAGTGCAAAAAATGCTATTTGCTTGTCTTGAACATTTAGATCTGTTTAATCTATTCATTACTACCAAAAATTATAAGTAAGAAAACCTTGCCTAGACAATTTACTCTGAGAATATTTCGACACTGGTCTTGTGCATTTTCCAGAATGATACACAAACTATTCTGTGAAAGAAAAATTGGGCAAATTGTAGTTTGTCTCTAAGAATAGCTGATGTTGACGTCATCTTGTGAACCCTTTCTAATGAAGTGAACGTATACATAGTGGGCAAGGTATGCAGCCCTCTTTGACTGGCAGACCATTTGAATGTGCCATTAGCCATATGAATGTCCTTAAGCGCAAATATGCAAATTGTTTCTTTGAATTATCTTTAATTGTAGGTTCTATGGATATTTGTTTACTTAATGTTCTTCAAGTGGTGTAATATCTTTCGTAATGAATCTCGAAAATGTTATATTTACAACTTTTCTTGGAATCTGAAGCAGTATCACTTAGCAAAGGTTATATATTTCTCCCAATATGTAAATCAGATTTCATTGTTTCTGTTACATATGAAAATTCAAAACGAACTTAATGATGGTGAACTTAGTGATGGTGAATGATGAGAATGATGATGAGGAAAATTTAATACCACCGGATCTTGCTGTTTCTTTTTTATGTGAAATTCATTTCTGTGCCATTCAACTTATAGTAGAATCAACACATAACTGTTGATATATTCAGAAGGTTGCTTGTACCTCTTGACAGTCTGTCTTTCCTACGTTCTTATTTTAAATTTATGATGTCAAAACTTATTTATTAAACAGGTAACATTCTTTATTAGGATTGTTTTACTATGTTAATAATAATGATGAAGATGATGTCAATAATTATTATTATTATTACGACAACAGACAGGTTTGACAACAGACATTGAGCAAGTTTACTTGTACATACTTGCCTGTACAGTTCATAAAATGTTTTGTTGAAATATCAGTTACTAAACTTGAGATAAATGTTCAGTGTTTGTGAATGAAACGGATCAGTAATCCCATTCAAAAGTCATTAACTGATTCTTGTGATATTAATTGTTGTGTCAAGGCTGATGTCATGTGAAAATATTTTACCCATGTTTCAAAATACAATTCATTTTTATTTTCTTGATCTAATGTTAATTTTGAATCAGCATAGTGGAAAATCAGATGTAACACTGTTACGAAATTTATTATGTAGGTTGAAAATTGTCTTCACTGTGTATTGTTGCTGCGCAATCTCAGTGTATCCTAAATCTTCCTCATAGTGTTGTGACTAATTTTATAATTGGCATTCAGCAACATATTGATTAAAGGCCTATTATATTTATAAAAGAAAAATCTGTCCTCTCACTTCTTGATTTTCTAACTATGCTTGCAGAAGCAATAATGCTAAAATTTAATAATTGTTAATCTTTCATGCCTATTTATGTATTGTATCAGTCGAACTTGAACTACTGAAAAGGTTCTGAATCATGTATTATTGGCATTTGTGGGACTTAAAATATAAGATATTGCTTCTATATTTGTTGTTATGTGAAACTGTACTTAGTTGTAAGATTTTCTGCATTTAAGTTTTTGAAGTACCATTTTCTAGGATTAATATTTAGTGTCTTCAACCTCCTCGTGAAATGGCTGAAATAAAGGAAGTCATCTCTGTTTACTTAAATGTATTATGAAAGCAGGTTTTGTGTCATCATCAGTCTAGCAATGGATGGCGAATTATCATCCAGGGTCTACCAAATTTACACTTTGGCAGGAGTGTATGGCTTTTAGATGTTAAGTTTTTGAAAGAAAGGATTTTCTTGTTTGAGTTCCAACATCCTCTATCTGCTTTAAATATTCTTGTGGATCTAGACAAACTCCCATCTTGAACTATTCTTCCGCAGTCCTCTCTCCATTGTATTCAAGGGCATAATAGTCTCCCCTATAGCTAAGAATTTTTATGACAGTATAAAATTAATATAAATTGTCTTCTTCCATCATTTGACTTCTCCTGCCATTGTACTATGTGACTATGTGTAACTGAACTTAGTCATGAACGTATTACATTTCTCAAACTTAAATCTATAATATCCTTCAATCAGTGCCATTGTTTGCATCTTGTTAAGAAAAGCAAGTAAAACAGCATGTGACTTAACTAGTAGTCTCATTGAGACAGTTTAGCAAAGGTAAACTTAGTCATATGAATTTATTGTGCCACATTTTGTAATATTAAGCTATGTCAGTTGAGGTATATAAGATTTCAAATGTTATAAATAATGTGTGTACATAGACACATTTTCTAAGCACCCCAAAATTTCATTTAAATCACTGTTTTGAGTGATTGTTTTTAATTGTTTTCTTTCTAACCATCTTTTAAATTATCATTAATAAGAAAAATAGGAAAATTTTCCTGTTTCAAGGAAGTAATCAGCTAACAATTTCTTAACCCTTTTTGAATTGAAACAAACTGAAAAGTTCATTCCTCCTTTAAATACTGTATATGAAATAGCTCTCTTAACTAGCGCATAATAAATCTCATGTTACTAAGAGTGAAATCGAAGTCCCACAAATGGTTTTGTATTTTTTTATATCCACATCAGATTTCATAAGTTAAAAAAGACAGATTCTCTTGAATCAAGGTCAGTACTATACTGATATATTTTTACAAATTTAATTTAGCTATATTTTTTGTTTTAGTTTCACAAAGTTTTATATATTGTTATTCAGCAAAAGAACTATAATATAGGTGAGAATTAAATTGTCTAGAAGAATAATTATTTTTGTATATTACTTTAATTTCAGTACATTTTTTTATGTTAAAAATCTTTTTTATATCATACTATAAATAGTACTTCATTTCATTAAAATTGATCCAAAAGGCTTGAAGAACTTGTGGTGTAGTATAGAATTAAGAGAAGAATTTTGCTTGTAATTCATTAACATGTTCTGTTCATATTGCTAGTGATTCTTCATGACTTTACTTGAAACTTTAGCAGCCTTTAGTCTGTTTTAGATACGATCAGTCATAGAGTTGCCACTTCTTCGGGTTTGACCACAGACTGGATTTAAAGTCCAATCTCTAGTTTCTGAATTACTTTGATAATCTCAGGGTCATTTCAGTTTCTTATTTCACACAATTCTTGTGATTTAAGTTTACACCCAATTCCTTATTGTCTTAAATGGGTTCAGATGATTCACTTGCAAGTTCTTATTGTATGGCACTTTTGGAAACTATTTGACTTCACACTAATGAGGTGGAAAAGGACAGTTCTGGAAGAAGATTTTAGAAAGAAAGAAAACACACTTAAAATATAATAGTGTTCATGAATGTTAGTCAGAGTATGTACCATTGTAATGATTTTTTTTAATATTTATCAGTAAGAAAAATAAATTTACATACATTATTGTTATGTATGCCGTATATCCCTACCTACCAAACGGCAAACCCACATCTGATACAAGATATTCCTATGGCTTCAGAATTATTCAGACTAGCAGGTTTATTTTCTAGCCTGCTCAATAAATCTGTTAACTTTTATAAAATGTTTGATTTCCTCCACCAGTCATAGTTGTAATCAAAATGAAACAGTTTAAGAACTACTGTATTTGATCAAACATTTTCTTGCTCTCTCTCCTCCCCTTAATTAATCTACAATCAATTAAAAAACCTCCAGGTGAGGAATTTTTGAAAGGTGGCAACTCTAAGCAGTCATCATATATATTTGCATATTGTATGAATTTATTTAATTAAAAGTAATGGTGAATTTTTGTGTGGATGAGTGTTTCTTAATGATATACATGTTTCAATGTAGTATATCACTAACATATTTTAATGTGTCATAGCAATAGCATGGCAATATTTTAAGTTAAATCATTCATTATGTTAATTTTTTTATCTCGTTCTTTCTTTCTGTGTATCAAAATAGTGATCAAATATTTTTATTAATTGTTCATTGTGATACTCTCTGTTTAAGAATTTCCACACTTCAAAGGAACGTATTCATTTGGAACTCTGTCTTGTAGTTCTGCAGGCAAACATAAGAATATTTTATACATATGTAAATGGAAATATTTTGGTAGAGACAGTTTTAGGCAATAGTTTAAAATAATTGGAGAGCATTTAACACCTTAACCATGGTTGGTCCTGGCAGACTAGCTACAGTAATAAATTAAGCTTTTTGTTAGGTTGTAATCTGTAGAACCCTACAAACTGCATTGCCTTATATTAAACTGGAAATTGAAGGTATAGAGAACAAAATTGAAAAAGAACATACATTATTTAAAAAAAAATATGTTTTAGGCTAGGTCTGGAGCTGCTACGCAACAAGTTTTCCATGACATAGTAATTGGAAAATCAGATTAGTTTCAGAGTTCAGAATAAACACAAACACCTCTGTAGTGCTTTCCTTTTTCTCTCTTTTCTTTCTCTTTCTCTCTCTTTTCTTACCCGACACTTAAACATGTAGAATTGTTTGGCTTTGTTAAGATTGTTGGTTTTCTCTCTGGTTGGGAACTGTCACTGAGATGTCTCCCACTACTAATTCTGGAGTCTTACCATTAGTGCTGAGAAGGGTGGGATATCCATTTGAATTCAGGATTTTATTTCATAATTTGAATATGGATAACAATGAACTACATAGTAGATACACAATTTCAGAAATGTTGGCCATTAAATATAGATTTTTGTTCTCTTTGGACTTTGAAATATCAGAAAAAATAATAGCAAAAGTGAGCTCAGTACATATATGTACTATTGCAGTATTAGGAAAAAAATTCTTAATATCCTCTTTTTAGCCCTAGTAGCAAGATATTGGGAAATATTTCTTCACAACAGTAAGCTGATAGATTTGTTGCTTTTCAAGTTGCAAAATCCTGCTCTAAGTGTTGTTATGAAGTTTAGTATTTGTATTATGAGTTTTATGTGCTGTTTCTGTTCTTATTAAAAGTTAAATTAAAAATGTATTTGAGAATGCTTTCTTAATTGAAACTTTTGTAATTAACAATCGGTGGATTTTAATTTTATTTCATGTCAACTGTTACTAATTATCATTCCAAAATTGATTGAGCACTTTGATATTTTCAACAGTTTCCTAAACAAATTAACAAGAACATGAACTTTTCAGAAGATGAAATATTTGTTACTGGATAATTTTTGTACATTTCTTTTAACTTAAGCAAGAGTACCAAAATTCAAATTGTATGAAAATAAACTTGTATAGATATTGAAATTATGTACTAAAAAAATGTCTATTTGACAGTACTGCTTTTTCTAAGTAAATTCTCAATTAATTACTATATTAATCACAAGTTTAGTAAAAAATTTTGAATAGAAATAGCTTTTACGCATACATAATTGATACAAGGTTTTTAAAGAAAGTAATGAAAAATCTTCAAAATCAATACATCAAGTTTTAATTTATGTGACAAGTGCTCAAAAATTGAGAGTTTACAATTTGGTTTGATAGGAGCTTTGTTTGATCTATTATTTACTTGGCTGTCATTCTGCTACCTTCCTCAGGGCATAATGCCCTGAGGAAGGTCGCAGAATGGCGACCGAAACACCGGCGCCTTCGCCATGGACAGCCCAGTAAATACTGACTCCGCCTGCGGAAGCCTACACTATCAATTGTTTGATCTAACCTGCTAAAGAGTAGTAAGGTCATGGCAAAGTAATCAAGATAGCAAATATGATTGCAATGCTGGTCGTGAAAGTCTGTTACAATGAATAATTTATTTTTGTTGTTACAATTTATGTAACTTGCCTAAAATGCAAAACTTTCTTTCAAATTTTAGTCAAAAATTTCATTTACCATGGCTTTCCATAATTCAATTGAACTATTAGTTGGTCCATAAATACATCATGAAGCTGCAAGAGCAAGTGTGACTTTATTACAATATGTTTACTTTGAAGTAAAGGTGCTTTTGATCTCACAGCCTCCAATAATATGCAAAACTGCAAGATTTTTTAAAACATCAAAATGTCATTTATGCAAAGATCCAATAAGCCTTGTTATTTATATTCTTTGTTCCTATTACATTGACCCCATTTCATGAAAATACAAACGCTTAGTGGTTTATTTTTATTAAATATGTGGTTTACAATTGTAATTTACTAATGGCCTAGCAGTGAGTCTTAATATAGTTTGGTCAAAAAATTAGTATTCCTACAATTGTTATTTTTGCTGACTAATATATTATTTTGTTGTTATTGTTGTATTATTAATAGTCATATTGTTGTATTACAAATTATTTAAGTATAATTTGAAAGTAAAATTAATCCCTGAAATGTTTACTAAGATTAATAGCCAGCATTTGGTGCAGAAGATACATACTTATATTTTAACAGGCTTTACCACAATAGGTAGATATACAGACTAATATATTTTAATTATGTATTGTTACATTTATCTTTATTGTATTCAGTGCTTGCAATGTAAACTGTTTGATTTAATCCTATGCAGATACATAGAAATGAAATTAAAAATTTTGTAACATAAAACATTTATATTATCAGAGTATTATTTTCCTTTTTGATGCAACAATCATATTCAAAGTTGTGATAAAACTGGTGTTGCTAGTTGGCCTATTATGTTATCAATAAGGCTGTGATTTATCTGCAATAAAAACAACAAAATATTTATAAATATATTTGGTATTAAATATAAGTAACTTCTGCTGCTAAAACTTAATTCTTTCTCACATTATTTGTAATGGCTGTGCAATTATACTACTACTTGACCATTGTAGAATTCATGACCATGATCTAGAATGAGGAAATGTCGATCACAGGATTAGGTCAGAGTGAATAGAAGAATTGAAACACTAGTTTGCTGACATTTTGGAATACTTTTATTCCATCCTCAGGGCTGTTATGAAAAACATGAAGTACATCACTATAAATATACTCTTAAATAAATTAATAACATGATATACAATAATGACCCAAGATGTATACATCTTACTAAAAAATATAGATATTTACCATCTGTCAGTAGCATTTGGCTAGATCCAACCCAGCTCCACATGAAGCTGCTGCAGTGCAAGGGTGCATCCCGCCAAGCCACCAAAGCCATCACTTTTGGACGGGGCATCATTACAGTGAAACAAATTAGTTTAAATAACATTATTCCGAGAGTTTCCTTGCACAAGTACCTAGGAATTCATCCAAATTAAGCTGGAAATGCTAGATAGATTTTGTTGTAGGGAAAGCCTGGATAACTTTTCTAATGCGCATCTTAAAAAAGAGTGCGGCAAATGCGAAGGAAATTACTTGTTCATTCAATAATGGAATAAGGAACAACAAAACTAGCGCCTAAACTATTTATAGGATTTTCTCCAAATTAGATTTTCGCCAGTTGATCTGGCTCGACTCAAAGCTCTGCGGATTTGAAAAACATTATGTGTGATTACATCCGCAAAGTGATAAAAAGATTAAATTGTTTTTTTACTCTTAGAACAATCTCTAGACTTTTCCGAACATTTTGATATATTTTTTATTGAAAATGTGTTGCTTTTTGTGCATCAGCACAGATACGCTAGCGCCTATCTGTTTCAGAAGTTCCATGGTTGCTCATAAACATACATATTGTGTAACTATTGACTTTCAAAGGCTGTAGTTTTCGGTGTCATATTATCTTGTTTATATGAAAAATTTGACAGGCCTATTGTTCTGTTTTTAAAGTTAGAAGTTCAAGTGTTCAGAAATCTTTCCAATCCAGTAAGCCTTGATACTGATAATTGTGTATATTTTGCAAATGTTCATTCCCTCCTGAGATATGTCATAATATTGTGGGGAAATGCATTTATAGCTCCCATATTTTTACATTACAAAATATAATAATACAAATAATATGTAAATTTCACCTATGTAATTCTCATAAGCCCCTCTTTATTAATGTATACATTTTACCATTATCTCGCAGCATGATATACAAATCAAGTGTTTTTTGACAAAAAACTTTTCAAGAGTGGGGATATGTTTTCAGCAAATGCCGTTGTTTATAATTGTAACACTCAACACAGGAATTATATTAATCAGGTATCAGTATCAATAGCTCACTACAAAAAATTCACATTAATACATGTACTGTAAAATCGGTCTAAAGCGGAATCAATCGAGACAATTATTCTGGTTAAAGGAAATTTCCATTTAATGACACTTGTTATATTGATATTTCCGTCCTGAAATTAGAAAATTATGACTTTATTATAATTATGAAATGTACTAACATATTACATAATTGTGGACTAAATCACCAATAAATAAATATTCAACATATTTCTGACAATTAAAAGGAAACACTTTACAATCTGTGCACTAAAATAATATTTTTTCCAACATTCATTTACAGTTTTTTGGTTTTCCCACTTTTCAATTATGTTTTCAGAAGTTGAAAAAATTTAATATTTATGGTTTTTTCAACCATCGTTAAATTAGTTATGGAACTCATTAAAACACGCCACCTGACCTCACTGCCTAGTGGCTGCACCTGGACTGCTCGCTGACTCTTCCAACTATGTCTTTCTGTTTGGCTTCGACCAATGCAGCTGTGTCCGAGGAGTTACGATGGTCAAAGCGGGGGCCGGTAGATGCGCTCCCTACCTTCCCACGCTCGAGAGCCGGGAGAAAGGGACTTGCGCTAGGCCTAGGGTCTACGCCTTGAGAGACAAGCGACCACAAGATTGAATTCTACGCTGACAACTGAAGCTCCTCGCCTTCACTGTGCGCCTGCCACGTCTGAAACATATCATTGGGATAGAAAAATTAAAACTGAATGGCGGATGAAATAAATCATTCCATGAAAAGTATCTCGCGTCTCTCAGCCAATTGCACTACATTCGCAGAAATTCAGTTTTATGAAGGTTTCCCCTCCGCAGGACACGAAAAAAAGTTCCGTTTCCGCGTTGGACAGATTCCGTTTTACGCTGTGTAAAATGCCTTGTAACTTCACGGACCGAGGATTTTTGAGGCAAGTTTCCGACTTGTTCAGGTTCTGGTTTAGACTGATTAGTTGTACTACATTATTTTAAAACACATTGCCAGATGACATTAAATGATTAAGATCGATACCTAAGTTGAAGTCCCACGTAAAATATATTGCCTGGCAAAAAAGTGATGCAACCAGGAGTGGTCCAATATTATCCTATTTTGGTATACAAGCATACCGTTGACGTGTGAGTAAATGATTAGATTCACGTGTGTCTGTAATTTGCAAAACGCCTACCAGAGTGCATTCGTGGGACTTCACTGTGGGACTTCATGTGGCTGGTTGGTCGTGTAATTGCCAGGCATGTGGGCCATTCAGATGTCATAGTGGCCGATGTTGGAATCAGTGGGTACATGAGGGCACCCATGCACGCCGTGCAAGCTCGGGTCGTCCAAGAAACACAACTCCCGGGGAGGACCGTGGCCAAGCTGTGCGGAATCCCATAACGTCGGCAGCCGTCATCCGCGAACAAGTAGTGGCGACTCTACATCACCGTGCGAGTTCCCGCACAGCAGCTCCACGACCCACATCCTCCAGATTGAGGTCCCACCGCCCCGTGCATCGGTTGCCATTGCCACCAGAACAATGATATCGGCGTTTGGATTGGTGCCGTGCCCGGCAGGCATGGGCAGAGGACGAATGGAGTCGCTTCATGTTCAGTGATGAGTTGCTTCGCCATTACCTCCGATGACCATCATATTTGACCCATCCTGCTCACACTTTAGATTTAGATTTATTTAGCCCAAAAAAACCAGTAAAAACTGTATGTGACGTATATGGGAGAAGATCATCTGCACACGTTTTCTTCAGTTCCAGAATCCCTTGCCGTCATTTTAACTATAAATAGTTGAAAGATGTGTAAAAGTTTAAAATAAATTTTTAAAAAGTGCGAGATTAGCAATATTGGGAAAAATAGACATTCTCGTTCCCGAGTTATAGAAAACAAACTAATTCAATATATATCACTGTTTTGTTAAAATAAACATTACTTTTCTTTTTGATAATCAGTATAGTCTCTAATTGTATAGAAACAGTTATGCAGCAGAAAATATTTTACTTTTAACTTAAATGTGTGAACCGTCATCAATTGTTTAGTGACAACTGGCAATGCGTTGTTAAGTAACGAACATGTATTGTAAGTGGATTTCTGATAGTGAGCTGTTGATACTGACACTCTATGACGACGTGTTGTAATTATAAATATTAGTATTGCTTGAAAATATGTTCCCATCGCTAAGTCACTTGACAAATATTACAGATTCGTAAATATATAGGCAAGACAGTGGTAAGATTCCACGCTCAATGTAGAGAGGCTTGCAAGATTAACGCGGATGGAATTTGTTCATTATTCGAAAAATTTCTTTTGCAGTCTAATGTCTGAGTACTACATGATGAGTCTCCCCAGATTATTATGCCACATCTCAGGCGGGAATGTACATTTGCAAAATACACGCAACGAGCTGCATGAAGGCTGACAAAACTTGAAAGCATTGTGAATGTCTAATATATTGATCTTAATTTAGTTTT